AAATATTTTTTTGAATAATTTAAAGTAAATATTTATTAAATTTAAACATATATTTATTTGCTACAAGAATCATCAATTTGATTCAACCATCATGTTTATTGAGTAAATATTTGTTTACTGTAAGTAAACAAATACATGTTTACTTAGTACTATTAAGAAAATATGTATTAAGATTTAGTAAATCTTTTTCAGTTTATGTATTTTATATTTCAAAGCTCTTATACAACTTATTGAATGTTTTCTATTTCGAGATAAGTCGTCGTTCTATCTTTATTGCTCTCTGAATATCAAGAAAGATAGTATGATGTTTGTGTCGTTTTATCTCATTAAATGGAAAGCAATCATTATGTTTCTCTCATATGCATGAGATCATGTTATTAAATTTTAAGTAATATTAAATTTTAATTAATTTAATATTGGACAAGCAATCAGCAGAAATCCTTTCTCATACAATTTCTGTCCTTGATTTTTACGCTCATTCTGTGTGACGCGAACGAGAATTTAAAATTATCGCGGAACATTCGATGCTTGAATGTTTGAAGCTCGAAAGGTATTCGATATCCCGAAGGGAAAGTAAATCGGCATGTAGACTCTGTGTATCGGGATCGATGCCTTTCCATGGTCGCGTAACAACGTAATGTCGTCAACTTGAGTGCTAAACTTGCCAAACCGCTATGTTATACTTCATTATATATTATTCATTATATATACTTCATTATATATTAATTCTTAATTATATTATTATTAAGTTATATCAACTTTAAAAAAATTTTTATCTTTACACAAATCTTTGTTACGTATAAAGTCTTCTTTTGTATAGAATAAAATATAACACAGGAAATGCATCGATTAAGACATAGCAGTTTAATTTATTTTGTGGTACATTTATCAATTATTTTCAAAGTATTTCAAATTTAAAAAATTTCAAATTTAATTTTTATATAATGCAAAATATTCCATTTTGAAGTTTATCCTTTCTTTAGATTTAGAAAGAAGTCTTGTATCTTGTTAATGATTATTATTAGATATTTATATCTAAGTAATATAGTATGTTAGTAATAAGACTTCCATTACTTAACTACATAACTTTCATATAAAGTTCCATCAGTTGCTATTAAATGAGCACTTTTGGCTTTTGTGAATTACAATATGACGATATACTTCGTGCTTCTCGGTAGCTATAAAGCGCTTTACTATTAACGTTAACATCATATCGCTCCCTTCCGTATTCAGTTCGACAATTGTCCGAGGAATGTTAAAGAAGTGCATAATTATCGATAAGAACGGAGAAAGGTTCGTCTTGATGGCAATATGTAATATTATCTACTGCTCGTTACGTCGGCCACGATTATCTTCCTCCTTGCGTGATGCGATCGCCCGCGTTACACTGACGAAATACTTTCGCATGATCCTTATTCTCAGTCTCGTTACGATTGAGAGCAGGAGAACGTAACGGACGCCACAATTACACAAATAAGAATACGATTACACGTACCTATTCCGGTATTAAATTACGTCGCGCCAGAGGCATTGAGCAAACATGATTGTGGTAAATGTTGCGTGTCATTTAGAAAATTTCATTGGACGTTATAATTTGAAGAAGCTCACTTTAAATGATTTATAATTCGTGTCAGAAAATTTAAGGAATTGAATTCTGTTTATGATATCACGTGTCGCGTAAAATATATTTCTCATATTAAAATTAATATCCATATTAAAAATATATTGTTATATGAAAGGAACAATGGTAAATCCCTTAAGTTAAATACATTTTGTTATTTTTAACTTCCATTTGTAATTAAATTTAATGTATTTTCTTGAGTTAAATTGTCTAACTGCACTGTTTTAGTCAAATTAACGACATGTTGGATGGGAGTAATGGCGACCTATAAAAATGATTAAAAATAATTCAAATTGGATATAATTTTACATTATGAGTACAGTATATTAAAAACATATATTAAAACATATATTAAAAATACAACATACACTACAATTATCAAGGTATACGGCATATAAACTTATGAAATCCGTCCAGAAATCTGACGTGATATATCATAAATCGTCTAAAGCAAACTAGACCGATCGATATAACATACGTATTGTATAATATGTATATACATATCATCAAAATTAGAAAAACATTCGGCAGAAATTATTCGATAGAGTTATGGCAGATGCATGCTCGATATTTATTTTCATTATTCCAACGACTGCATCCCGCAATGGAATCCCGCTAGCTCCGTTCCACGACATTACATAAAAGTTGTCATAAACCGCAAACGGTACGTACGCATCCGTATGTCTTCGTAAATCGCTTATACCGCAACTATGTGTTTTCCGAACGCGTTGTGGCAAAATCGTTTTGCGACTATGAAGAACTTATTAGCGCGCATTTCCGAGCGAAGAGTCTGGCTTAGCCAGAACGAAAGTATCGACGAGTGATTTTGCAATGAAACGAAAAATGTAAGGAGTATGCGGTTCTTATTTAATTATATAGTTATATATGAGAGGAATTTCCATTTATTGTGTCTTTAGTTAAGTAGTTACAATTAGTGTGTAAGTAATGATTCTCATTTGATTGCGTGCCATGAGACATGAGTGTCTTACGAAGATATTATATAATCAAATACATATAAGTCAGAAATTCAATTATGATAAAGTTTAGAATATAAATTAGCGCGTTAAGTTTGCGAGAAGGTGAAAGATTTCTAATTATAATTATAGATAATAATATTAATTTTTCATAACATTTTTAACAATAATTAATACAATATATACTGAAAAAAAACTAAATTTTAATAAGTATTTGAATAGTTCTAAGAAAATATTTATTATACAATATTACATATTTATTTAATATAAAAATTAATTTAATTTAATCAAATTAATTTTTAAAATTAATTTTTTTTAGTAGGCATTTATTTATTATAAAAAAAATATTTATTTAGCACTATTAAAAAAAGTGCGCATTACAATTTAGTACTTTTCTTCAATGTATGATAAGTCTAAGTATATATTGGACTGAAATAAAAGTTATATGTAATTTTTATGTGTAAAGGAGAGGGAAAAGAGAATTAATTATGCAAATTATAAGGAAAATATTCATTAGCTAATAAAAATTAAAAGTTGCTTCTGATTCGGTAACTGCCTTGCATATCCGCGTTAACTTACTTCCTACACTTAGCCAGGAAGTTTAATTTAGAGTATACGATATCTAAAGCTTCCATTTTTCTAAAGAGTCCAATCAGACGATTTAAAAATAAAAATGTAATCATGTTAAAAATGTAATCAATAATACAGCCGGTCTGTTAAATAAGCACAACTCAAACATTCGAGAAACTGTATGTTTGTCGAGTTGCGTCTTTTCTCAAGACGGCTGATTCCTATTAGAAAGTGCCCCCGCCGAAGAGGTTCGGCTCAAAAACTAGTTAACCCGGCGACAAGTTTCCATTTGGAGTGAAACGGTTAGGTTTCGATGTGCGGTTTTGCGTAAACCGATACGCGCCCGTCTGCATGACATGACGATCCTCTGCAGTCCCTTGTTTTTTCTGTCGAACTTTGAGGACAGAGTGCGTTGCATCCGATCTTGGTTCAGAATGCGTTCGAAACTCGTGCAAGACAATCAACGACATCTTTGCACGAATCGGTGAAGTTTGCGCGTGTTTCACACGCGTGAAATCTAACAAACGGGCGAACATGATTGCCGATAGTTTGCAACGCGTACGGAACCAGTTCCAGGTTGAAACCGGTTTGGAACTAGTTTCCTTCGGTTTTTCGGCCACGAGAACTCCGCGTATAGTCGACATCAGCAAGAATAGCACTCCAACCAGATTACTTGGTGCGATCACAACGTCGTTGACGCTGATTTTCACCTGGACGATATTATGGCTAATAATAAGGAGTTGAAAGGTAAGAAAATCGCTTTGATACAAGTCTGTTCAATTTCTCTCGAAAAAGGAGAACGTTAAAAAAGGGCCGATTCTTGTAAAGATATAAGTAAAAGGAATAGCGTTTTTTATAGATTTCAATTTACTGAATATGATAATATTAATAAAAAGTTCGGGATAGATATTTTGAAAATTGAACATAAATATGATATATTAAAACAAATTTCAATATTATTCTTGCTTACTTTTCAAGGTGTTTTTCCTAAATACGAACTTCTTAATAATTTTATTTAGGAGGCCAAAATCTACAAAAAACTATTTTTTTTATTTATATCTTTTTGGACAAAAATTTGCTCTTTTTTTGGAGAATATTAAAAAAGGTCCAACTTTTGCCCAAAAGAATGTAAGTAAAAGAAAGTGTTTTTTGTAAATTTTGACTTCCCGAATATGACAAAATTATTAAAAAGTTCGTGGCACTAGGGAAACATCTTGAAAAATAAGCAAAAATATTGAAATTTGTTTAAATACATCATGTTTAATGTTTAATTTTCAAAGATATTTCCTATTGATTCTTTGAACAATTTTTGATTGATATATGACATCTATAATTTAATGGTGCTGCTGATCAAAGATCTCTTAATCATATTTTAACTAGGAGCTATTTTCGGCTCCTAAAACACAAGAAATCGCGTATATGAACGCAAGATTGAATCCGGATCTACAGATCGCGAGTCAGTCGCACCGAGCGGCAACCCAGTCAATACCTCGTAACTTGTAAATGGAACTGAGATATTTTATTGTGCGTTTAATATTTCAGTTTTAATATCTGACTATCAAAAAATATCTGCAAATACAATAGACGGTTGAAGATTTTATTCGAACGATTACTTCTGACTTTGTACTTGCGACGTATCTCCAGTTCTATAAAGCGCCTCGTTTATATCATATTGAAATTTAATGCAATGCTCAACATTTAAATCTGTTATCATTTTATTGTTATACTGAAAATGACTTAAATGATTTATGATTCAGAATCGATTTATTTTTTTATTTATTTTGATTTAGATTTTTTCATGATATATGTAATTTTTTAAATTATTTATTTTTACCAATATTATTAAATTATTTATCAATTTAATTTGATAACAAATAATTCGAATAGGCTGTAATAAATAAAACAATAAATTAAATAAAGTTAAAACAATAAATTAAATAAAATTTAAAGCCGACATAGGTTATTTGTGTTTAAACATGTATACTTTATTTGCAAAATAAAAACATAATTTGATTTAGACATACATTTCTTCATTGTTTAACTGCTATTACGTCGATGACACTATTATTGTGAACATCGTTTAGATATTAATTATTAACGTTTTTCATGTATTTTATTTTTTATTTAGTAAATTTAAGATTTATCAATTATTATTTTAAATCAATCTATTGTATAATTATAATGTAATAAACCAGTTTGATGCAGTAAAAAGCAATTATTCGATGTACTCATTGTTCATGTAAGCGCATATTTTGTTTAACATTGAATTTAACCACAGATTCATAATTTGATTACTATTTATTTATTAATTAATTGGAATTTGATAACAATTGATGAACAATTGTTGACAAGATGTGGACGTGAAAAATAATTGACCTGCTTTCAGTATAATCATATAGCTCTTCTTAGAATTTTATTTATGATGATTTCAAGTTATGTTTTCTTATTATAAGATTTAGTTATTAGTTTACTGAAGAGAATCCAAAACGGGATTGAAACGTTTTTTATGTTTTTTCTTTTTCAAATAAAGTATATATAATTTATATACTAATATTTTTTTTCTTTTCTATTTGTTATGTATTCACATTACGGTTTTAAAAGATACTTTGCTTAATATTATTTATTTTTGGTAGAGAACAAAATCGACAGTCACATGGAAGTCAAAGTGGAACCGACCCTTCAGTGTTACGTCGAGGAGGAGCACGAGAACAGCTTTTCGAATTTGGAGAATGCCAGCACGATTCCGTCGAGTGTCGACGTGGGCGCGTTGAACTTGTGGACCAGCAAGGCCACCACCTGCCTGATCAGCCAGTACAAGAAGTATCGATCGTTGGTCGGACAATCGACGCAGATCAGGAGTCTACGAGAGATGTTCGAGATGATATCACTGGAGATGCAGAATTACGGATTCTATTTTAGTCCGCAGAAATGCGAGAATAAATGGCGGGTTCTCGAGCGCAAGTATAAAAACCTCGTGTTCCGCGAGCGGCTGAAAAAACCGGGCAGGATGCGACATTACGGACAGTGGGAACACAAACGCGCCTTGGATGAGATCTTCAATGAGAAGAAGAGGCATGTGTATCTAGAGGCGAACGAGTTGCAGCCGCCAAGCGGATCAACTAATCTCTTGATTCATCCAAAACCAGGTTGCGATCAAGGCAGCGACTCGCTTGACGATCGACGCGAAGATCCTTTAGCCCCCATGACCAATGAGAAAGACGGTGACACATTGGAACGTAAGGAAATTTTGACGTCATTATTCGAAAAATTTATAGAGGAAATGGCAAAGAATTTTGCACTGACTGAAAAGAACAAAGAGAGGCGGCACAAAGAGAAAATGGCTGTGAGACATAAGGAATTGGAACTGAAAAAGCAGCTTCTCAAGCTAAAAGAACAGAAGATGGAATTACAAAGATGTCAAATGATTGCTGCCGCACAGAACTTGCGTTTGAATATGAAATGATATACGTCACTCGATTTGCAAACCAATATAATAATTTATATCTACATTGTTTTAAAAAAGGCAACAAATTTTATGTAATGTAATGGAAGTAAATTTCAAGCAAGTATATTAAAAACATTTAATATTGTAAAGTGAAAATAAAGTTACGAATAATTTAAATTTAATGTTTACTGCATTAAATTTCGCATTCGCGTAAATTTACACGAAATTCTATGAAAGTGCATTAAATTTCGTGTAGATAAATGTCTAACTTTCTAGTTCGATATATATTAAATTAAATTAAATTTATAACTTAATTAAATGTATAACTTAAAATTTCATTACATTTTATGATATTATATGTGTACACACATATA